CTTGGATTGTGGTGGAGTCTCCATCGTTGGAGGTTTTTAAACAGAGGCTGGATGACCATCGATCACTGATGCTTTGATTGTGAGTTCCTGCATGGCAGAATGGGGTTGGACTGAATGGCCTTTGGGGTCTCTTCCAACTCTAGGATTCTATAATTCTATGAGTCTGTGAAAAAGAACAACAGCAACAAGACATCAGCAATTCTCTCCACCTGAGGGCAGGTTATCTGAATGTCAACCTCCAACAGGGAAAAGCATTTTTTAAAAATAAGTCAGACTGCAACTGGCTTATTTTACCTAGCAAGAAGCATGGAGATTTTTTTTTTTAGCGAGATTCAGTGTTCTCTGCCTAATTAAGTGGTTTGTGACCTCACAGAAGACCTAGGTCCAAAACACACTGCAGAAATAATCCAGTTTGAGATCACTTGAACTGCCCTGACTCAATGCTAGGGAATCCTGGGAATTGTAGAATTCAAAGACATAGCTGTGTTAGTCTGTAGAATCAGTCTGAGGAAGTAGACTGAAGTTTACAAAAGCTCATGCTGCCAATTTCTTTCTTTCAATTAATCACAAAGGTGCTACAAGATCTCTCTACGTACCTGGAATTGTAGTTTATTGTGGCCCCAGAGCTCTTTGACAGAGAAGTCTTAAATGTCTCACAGAATTACACTTCCAAGAATTCCCTAGCATTGAGTCGGGGCAGTTAAAGTGGTCTCAAAGTGGATTGTTTCTGCAGTGGGTTTTGGACCTGAGACATCCTAGATCTCATAGGAAGTATCTTTTTGTTTTGCTAATGGAAATTAAATTTCCTGGACTTTAAAATGCTTTTCTTTCCCAGAAAAAGGAGTGGCCTGTTTGCAAAGCTATCCCTCCATTCTCAGACCACAACCAACATCTTGACAAAATGCAGGCCTGTGACTAACATTGTTATGATTTTTTCTCCTGTATTATTTTTAATACCTTTGCCAGATGAAGAAGCCCGTGGAGCTTCAAAAGCTTGCAACATATATTTTATGCCTTTGGTTGGCCCAATAAAGGTATCACTTATGGATGTTATTGTACTTTGCCAAAATGGCTACCCCTGGAAACATAAGGAACTGCTTCCCCTTGTTTTCTGTTTTGAGGTCATTATTTAAGGAACTAATTAGTACTTAGCTTGCAATGGGCAAGATGTGCTAGATATCATGTAAATTGCTTTCTAGACAGCATGGTGTAGTGGTTTGAGTGTTGGGCTATGACTCTGGAATCCAGGGTTCTGGAATCCAGGGTTCAAATCCCAGCTCAGCCGTGAAAACCCGCTGGGTGACCTTGGGCAAGCCACACTCTCTCAGCCTCAGAGGATGGCAGTGGCAAACTCCCTCTGAAGAAGCATGCCAAGAAAATCCCATGATCGGGTCGGCATGAGTCAGAAATAGCATGACGGTACACCTCCAGCACAACAAAGGTAGTGCTGGACTGCAAGGGATATACTGTATAAGTGAAAACCAATTTTTTTGCAGAGGATGTATGTAAAGGTTGCTGTGCTTTTAGGTTGGGATGATATTTATGTTTGTCCAGGAAGAAGCCTTGCTGAACTCAGTGGAACATACTTCTGAGTAGCAATGCAGGCGATTGTGGTGCAAGTCTCGCTTTCCTAAACTGACCATGCTGATTGGGGATGAGGGAAATTGTAGTCCAACACTTCCAGATTCAAAGCTGGATCCAGGAGTGTACTCCAACTGTGACCCTGCATCTTCAGAGTTAGTGTAGCCCTATCCAGCACAGGTTGAATCCTTGGTCTTTGGTCCACCTTTTGTTTACTAGCAGCACCTCTGTCTTTGGTCTAAAACACACTGCAGAAAGAATCCAGTTTGAGACCGCGTTAGCTGCCCTGGCTCAATGCTAGGGAATCCTTGGAACCGTAGTTTTGTGAGACATTCAGCCTTCTCTGTCAGAGAGCTCTGGAGCCACAATAAACTACAGTTCCCAGGATTCCCTAGCACTGAGCCAGGGCAGCTAACGCGGTCTCAAACTGGATTCTTTCTGCAGTGTGTTTTGGACCTTTGTCCATATTAAGCTTCAGTTTGTTAAGTCGTAGGCTTTCATGGCCGGCATCCATAGTTTTTTGTGGGTTTTTTATGCTGTGTGGCCATGTTCTAGAAGAGTTTCTTTCTGACGTTTCTCCAGCATCTGTGGCTGGCATCTTCAGAGAAAAGAAGATGGCATCTTTCTCTGAAGATGCCAGCCACAGATGCTGGCGAAACGTCAGAAAGAAACTCTTCTAGAACATGGCCACACAGCCTGAAAAACCCACAAAAAACTTCAATTTGTTCTCCGTCATCCAATGGCAAAAACTGATTAGAACTACAGCAGCTTCCTTTGAGTTTGGTAGAAGGGAGAAATAAAGTTGGGTATTGTCAGCATACTGATGGCACTGAATCCCAAACTCCAGACAACCTCTTGAATGGTCTGCAGGACAAAACCAAGCCTTGAGATAACTCATAGCCCAATGTCCAAAGAGTGAACAGGAATCCCCCAGCACTAGTTTCTGGGCTCACCCATCCATCCAGGAAGGGAAACACTGTAAAATAGTACCTTCAGGGACCATCCCAGCAAGATGTCCTTGAAAGGATATCTGCTAGATATCCAACATCTAGTTTCAAGCGAAGGTTGACTACCAGGATGACCAAAGCTGTCTCTGTCCCATAACAAGACCTGAAACCAGATGGAAATTGATCTAAATAATCCATTTCATCCAGAATCCCTGAAGCTGTGAGGGCAGCACATGTTTTATTACCTTGTCCTAAAGTGGAATGTTGGACAGAACTGATAGTTATCCATTCTAAAAGGAGTTTTGGTAAGGCTAAAAGCCCCATTTTTTAGACCCACTGAACATGTCCTTAATTTGGCTGTCAAATTAATCAGCTGTCAAAAAGCAATACATAAGATGCCAAATGTACCTCTCCTTGGTGAAGCGGTTCTTTTTTGTTACAGAATTCTGTTGCCAGTGTGTACAGATCCGGGGAAAACAGTGGTGTAGTGTGATGTGCACAATGCTCACTTGCTCCTCATCTTCTCAAATATCTGAGAGAAGGTGTTCAGAAACCTGTACTTCTGCTTTTGATAAACCATGGCTTCCCAAGTTATTCAAAGTGGAAATTGCCGCTAGCATTAATTATGGTGAATTTCAGTAGGCCTGCTTTATAACCCATGCCATCTGGTACAAAACAATGGTGAACTTAATTATAGTTACTTTGAAGTAAGCTAACTTTTTTGTAATTAACCATTGTTAATATTCACCACAGTTGGTTGCACTAGGTGACACAACAAACTATGGTTAAGGGGAAAGGAAAGCATGATTGTGCATTGGGTGTAATAGAGTTTATGAGCTTGAGTCTCACTGTGGTTTGCTCCTGCTTTTGCATGTCACACTTAACCAAGAATGGGTCAACTGTGGCCCAGAATCGCCCGAGAGAGGTCAAAAGCTAATCTTGGAGCCTTTTGGTTATGACACAAACCTTGAAAACACTCCCAGTTTCCACCAACACAAAGAATATTGGCCACAAAATGAAAATGATAGTCAGTTGATTTTTTAGAGGGGAGAATAGAGAGAAAACTAGCTTCTGCTCCCTGCAAAATTGACCATCACCGCACTAAACCATGGCTGTAGTATGTGTCCATTTTCATAATATTTTTATGGATTTTTTAAAATGGATATGTTCAAGTGAAGCAGAAACATGTGAAAAATGTAATGTGTGAACCAGATATTTTTTCCTCAGAATTTATGTCTGAGAGAAGACCCAGAACCTCCACAGTGGTGTTGGAATTTGGTCATAAATGATGGATTTTTTGAACATGTTCTGGTTCTTCCATGTGATATTTTCAAACAAATTCAGAACATAAAAGTTTTCACTTGCCAACAGAACAGTGGCGGGGGAGGCGGGGATCCCAGCATCCCTAAGGAGGAAGTTCCAAAGTTACAGGAAGGCCCTTTCCCGTGTTCTCATCAGATCTGGCTGCGGAGGTAGTGGGCCTGAGAGAAAGGTGTTCCTCCCAGGTGAGATACAGTTCGTCAGATGGCCCAAGCTGTAGAGAGCTTTATAGGTCAGAACTATCACTTTGAATTGTGCCTGGAAACAGATTGTTAGCCAGTGGAGCTATTGTAACAAGGAGGTTTTATATTCCAAGGAATTTTAGGGCATTCCTAATACAGTTGTTCCTCCCCGTTCGTGGACTTCGAGTCTGCGGTCTCGCTCTACGTGGGAGGGACAAGCGGGTATGGATAAAATTCTGGCCCCGCATGCATGCCACAAACACGCACACCATTATTTTCAATGGGGCTCGGATATTTGCAAGCCGTCATTTTCTCAGGGTGGGTGGGACTGGAATGGATCCCCCGCAAATTGGAAGTGGCTACTGTACAAGTATGTGTTTTAAAATGGAGAATGAAAGTTTCATTTTTATGCCCTTGGGATATCTCTGTCAAAGAACAACAACAAAAAACCACTGGCAATGTCTCACTAGAGTCAAAGACAAGTTGCTTGTTCAACTTTCTTTTAATATTTCAGCTCTGCCTCCCTCTGTGTAGCACCCTCAAACATGTTGGGCTATGGCTGTCATCACACCAGTCAATCTCTTGTCTGGGGACAATGGGAGTGCAGTTCAACACATCTGGAGGGCACCAGGCTGGGGAAGGCTAATTTGATAAACACAGTGTCATGTTTAAAGTGCCGTATTTTGTTGATGATTCTCCCTCTTAACCAATTGTGTTTCCAGGCCTCTTGTTTCAGCGATGGAAAGTTCCCTTAGAAGTTCAGCTGAGCAGACAAATGGCTAGCTCTGGTGTTCCAGGGGGCAAAGGTGAAAATGCTGTCTTTGCTCTCCTTGTGGGCTTATCCACTTTAGGAGCAGGGGCCTATGTAAGTAGAAAGGCTTGATGGTTAATAAAAGAACAGCAAAACTACTGCTACCCAGTGGCTGTTCTTTTCTCCTTTTTTACTATTTAACATTCTTTATATCTCTATTCTTCTCACTTCTCTGCAGAAATGTCACAGGGCTCTTAATCCTGTCAAGGAGCAAAGCTGGGCCTCTGCTCTACACTGATCTTGTCCTTGCTCATTGTTTCAGTGGAAGGGTATTCACTAGAAGGGCATGTAGTTATTGTAGAAATCAGCTGCCATTCTTTGTATCTTGAGCTGATGCATAAACCAGCTTGGAAAGATACATTTTTGTTCTTGTTTGAGGGAGAAATTGGACTGTAAGGTGAGAATCCTGTCCAAGACATAATAGCAGTTAATTACAAAGAGCAACTGGGTAGATTTGCCAGGCATAGATCTCTATTACCTTGAATGATAGGAAATGACTCTTGGAATCATTTGTGCCACTTGGTAACACTGACGGCCTCTCTCATGCTATTTCCAGAAGTCAAAATGGTTACTCAGAGGGATCCAAGGCTGAAGAGATCACGGAACCTTTGCTGCCACTTGATATGGGGGGAGTGGTAGGATTGTGGGTTCGGTGGGGGCAGGGTAGCCTTGATTTCTCCTTAATAGAAAATATTGTTGAAATAGTGGGTGCTCTGCCTTGATCTAATCCAAAGTTGGGAACATTACTTTTTTGGACTATAGCTTCCAGATCCCCAAGCCAGCATGGCCAAGCTCTGATCTGACCTTCTCCCATGCCTCCATTCCAAGTAGCTGATTCTAAGTAATTCTTCACTCTACTTGGAAAAAGCTAAATCTGCAAAGAATCAGAATGAAAACACACTTCTTTTCATGTTATAAATGAACAAAGTTTAATCACGGTGAGACTATTTTTCTACACTGGTTTTGACAAAAGGTAACTGAAACAGCTGGAAGCCCTTGCTTGCTCCAAGATGTGTGTAATTCAGTGTCCTCATTGAATACTCAGAACATTTGCTTCGTTTCTCTTTCTCTCTCTGCTCTTTTTTCTTCCTTCGCCTGTTCCCTCCTGCAGTTTTGCAGTGTCTGCATCTCCGGCCCCCTTCTCGGTCGCTAACGTCTCCAAGTGCTCCCAGCAAGGACAGCAGCAACCTAGTATACTTCTTAATAGTAGGAGGAGCAGTCACTGGGGCAGGCGCTTATGTAAGATGCTTACCATTGAATTTGGTTATGAGGCTGAGGGTGGGAAATGCATGCTCTGACTGAAGTATTGTCTTTTTGGGTGTTCTGAGTCAGTGAAAATCTTCTGAGTCAATCATGCTATAAAAATTGGAAGTGAATTTTAAAAAGGATATTGTCAAAGACGATTTCCAAACAGATAACCATTTTTAGACTGTTGCATTAAAAA